TTTTGCCAAGATTTCTGTTTTTGTTTCAAATGATTCCGGTGCTTAAAAGTGATAAACAACTGAAAGTTTGGCAAACTGGACTTAATAAGTTTGTCTGGAACGAGAAAAAGCCGAGAGTGAAATTGAAAATTATGCAAGATGTTCCAGAAAGAGGAGGCCTTAAACTTCCAAACCTACAGTTATATTATGATGCAGCAACTTTAACTTTAACAAGCGATTGGTTTGGGGGTAAAAAGGCTGGAATATTGAATGCAGAAAGTTTTGATCTTGAATTTGGATGGCATGCTTACCTATTTTATGATGACAAAGTTGATAAAGTATTTAAAAGTCATATACTTAGAGACTCTTTGATGAGAGTTTGGAAGAAGCACCGACTCAAATGGGATTATAAAATACCGCTATGGCTGGATCTTGGTCATACCTTGTGGAATACAAATATAATGTCACTCGGGGGGTTTTTATACAAAGAGGTTCTTTTTACAGATGCGGGCAGATGGCAGCTGAAGACATTGCAGACACTGTTGGATGAAGGGATTAATTTAACCTGGTTACAATATAATCAATTACAATTGAGATGGAAAGAGGACCAAAAAACTGGTATTATGTTGCATGAGGAAGAATTGGTTAGACATATAAGAGAGAAAGGTCCAATGCATATTAAAAGGCTTTATAATGTTTTGCTAGAAAGGGATTCAGAAACGGAATTAGTTAAAGATTGCATGATTAAGTGGGCACAAAATTTTGAAGAACCAGTGATGTTGGAAACATGGGAAAAAATTTGGGTTCAGAATGTTAAATTTACACAGTCGCAGAATCTGAGGGAAAATTTTTATAAAATGTTTTATAGATGGCATTTAGATCCTAAAAAGTTGTCATGTATGTACCCTAATGTTCAGCCAAAATGTTGGAGATGTGAATGTTTGGATGCTACGTATTATCATGTTTGGTGGACCTGTAGGAAAGTTAAGGCTTTTTGGATAAAAATATGGTGGGTCATGCAGAATGTTTTGAAGAAAAAAATTCAATTTTCTCCACAATTGTTTTTATTGGGCATAGTTAAGGGTTTTACATGGGATGAAACAAAATTAATATTGTATATGATAACAGCAGCAAGATTGTTGATAGGTAAATATTGGAAGAATGAAGTTTTGCCTACTATCGAGGAATGGACTTCGAAGATGGCCAGTTTTGCAGAGATGGCGAAGATTTCAGCATATTTAAAAGATTGTTCACAAGAGACTTATGAATGGGAATGGAAAAGGTGGATAGAATATGTTCAGAACAAATACCAAATTAGAAAGTATCAAATAGCTTTTATTTGAAAACATGTATTAGAAATATTTTAATATAAAGAGACAAAGAGGGAAAATTATATAGGGGGAGGGATGGGTTCAGGTATATATATCAGTGTTATTAGTTATGAGTACATAATAGGGAAGTCTGGGGGGGGGAGGGTTAGGGAGGGTTAGGGAGGACGGGAAGTTTGGGGAGGGAGGTGGGGGGGTGAAAAAAGGGGTGAAAATGTAATTGTAAAACTTTTGCAATAAAAAAAAAAAAAAAAAAAAAGAAGATTAAAAGTTTCAAGCAGGAGAGAGGAAGCACAGACACAGAAGAATGAAGACACACAGATTTCTTCCGTGGAAGCAAACAACAAAAACAACAAATACATTTAGTTGTTGGACAGTGGGGCAAGTGAGCATATTGTAAATATCCCACACCTTTTTTCCAGTCTGGGACCAGTTGCCCAGGAATATGTAAGGCTGGCAAATGATAATCATTCTTCTGTGCAGGGCCAAGGAACAGTACATGTACCATGTATTGTTAAGTCGTTTGATACGGTTTTATGTGTACCAGATTTAGATCACAATTTGCTGAGCGGGTCTCGCTTAGATAATGAAGGGTATGAGATCATTTTTGCAAAGGGTACATGCAAAGTCATGAAGAAAAACAGAGTGTCTGTGCACAACGTTCGAAACTGAACAATTTATATGTTTTGAACCACAAGGAAACGGGTGGCAGCGCACAGATAATCTTTTCTAAGGAACCAAAGCATAATGGGTGTGCACATTTGTTGCCCAGAACTTAGGCTGGGTCATGCAAACTTTAAAATATTGCAGAAAATGCCTGACCTGGCTGTAGGTTTGAATGTAAAAGATTGTGACAATTATTTGGATTGTGCTGTTTGCAGAGGCCAAATCGAAAGTGTAACCCGTCAGCAAAAGAAGGGATAGAAAATATGAAAGGATTTTTCAGTTAGTTCATGCTGATGTTGTGGCCCGTCAGCGGCCTGTGCAGCTAGTAGCTGATTCCGACAGCGAGGAGGCTGGTGTGGTGCTGCGCCAGCAGCCTGTGCAGCTGGCGCTCGAGTCGGACAATGAGGAGGCTGGAGAAGATGTGGTGCCAGAGGTGGGGATTCAGCCAGGCTCTTCTGAACCTCCAGAAGCTCCCTTAAGTGAAGAGGACGAAGAGGAGGAGCCTCTTCTCGATGCACAGGCGCGCAGAGCTGTTAAAAGGCAGGAGTGACTCCTCAGGAGGAGGTCTCCTCAAGAGTAAGGCTTGGGGCTAGTTGGCCACTCCCTTAGCCTATTTAAGGAAGAACGCCCACTGAGGCAATTTGCAGGGAACAACCTCGTTCACATTCCTTCTCACATTCCTTCGTGTCTCGGTCTTGCTTATCTTATCAGTTCCTGCAAATTGCTTCTGGGCATTCTGCCAACCACAGTAAGGTTTCAGTTATTATTCTTTGAACTCTTGGCAGTTGTTAATGCAGTTAATTAACAGCCGTTCTTGTAAAAGATTGATTTAATTTAGTAAACTAAGGTTTGAACGGACTTTGTATGTGCTGCGTTCTTTGGGGTCCATAGCTGGGGCAGAACAGCTGATTTAATTGGTCCTGTATATCAATGGGAGGGGGGCCAAATATGCTTTGGTAATTGTTAATGATCCCTCTTGGTTTTGTTACTTATTAAAAAGCAAAACAGAAGTGTTTCAATAATTTAAACAGTGGGTAATGTTAATAGAGAGGAGGTGTAATCAAAGTGTGCATCAGCTGCAAACAGACAGAGTTAGAGAGTTCACATCTAACATGCAGTTCTCAGCAGTGGCTGAGAAAGAAAGGCATAACCTATAGAAAAACCAACCCTACACTCCGGCAGGGAATGGAGTTATTAAACGCAGGAATGATATGTTACAAACTATGAAAGATGTATTACTAGAATTAGAATTATTTATTTATTGGCCAAGTGTGATTGGACACGCAAGGAATTTGTCTTAGTGCGTATGCTCTCAGTGTACATAAAAAGAAAAGATACATTTGTTAAGAATAATAAGGTACAACACTTAATGATAGTCATTACATAAGTGCAATGTAGATTACACATAAGTGTAATCTACTGTAGCAGATGCAGGAATGGGTAAGCAATATTGCGATTTTAACCGCCAATCATTTGGTAAATAGACGAAGTTCAGCAATGAATGAAACTCCATATGACAGCAGTGATGGGTTGCCCCTGGTTCGGATCAGTTCGCAAGAACCGGTAATAAAACCGCCGGGAGGCCCCGCCCATCACCCCAGATGTCATCATCAGCAATCTGCACATGCGCAGTGAACTGTTGCGAATTGGTGGTAAAGGTAAGTAGAACCCACCCCTGTATGACATATTATATAAACGACACTCTGGCACATTTAGGAATCTTTGGCAGCAGTGCACAGGTGTACATTCCCAAAACAATTATGAGGAAAGGACAGCCAAAGGCAAGGAAATTGAAATTGATAGGTTATATCAATCAGGATCAAAGGCATATAGATTTATAGATGGGACACAAAAACATTATTTCACTTTCGGCAAATTTTTCTGAATATGTGGATTGGGAAAAGGTACATGCCAATACTGAAGTTTAAACGCCTGTCAGTCAGAGGTGTCCAGTCAGTGGTGGGTTTCAAATTTTATTACTACCGGTTCTGTAGGTGTGGCTTGGTGGGCATGGCGGGAGAAGGATACTGCAAAATCCCCATTTCCTCCCAATCAGCTGGGACTCGGGAGGCAGAGAATAGATGGGGGAGGGGCCAGTCAGAATTTTTACTACCGGTTCTCAGAACTACTCAAAATTTCCGCTACCAGTTCTTCAGAACTGGTCAGAACCTGCTGAAGCCCACCTCTGTGTCCAGTGGATGAGCATTCACACAGGCACCTTGAATAAGGCCTGAAAGTGGTTCGAAGTCTGAGAAAAGGTCAGAGAAATGTTTCGAAAGGGAGACTCCAGTGAGACAGGAACAGTTTGTTCCAAGAAGGTTTGAAAGAGCAAACAAAGATGTTCACTCTCTTTCTCTCCCTTCCCTCCCTGACTATCATTCTTTCTTTTTCTTTGTCTTTCTTTTTCTCACCTCCCTCCCTGACTTACTCTGTCTTTCTTTCTCTCTTTTTTCTCTCTCTCACCCCTCTCCCTTTCTTTTCTTTCTCCCTCCCTTCCTCCTCCCTCCCTGCTTCTCATTCCCATCTCCTTCCTTCCTCTCTCCCCTCCATCCTCTTCATTCCTATCACCTTCCTTCCTTCCTTCCTTCCTTCCTTCCTTCCTTCCTTCCTTCCTTCCTTCCTTCCTTCCTTCCTCTCCCCTCCATCCTCTTCCTTCCTTCCTTCCTTCCTTCCTTCCTTCCTTGTCAGCCAGGACGGGGGCGAGAGAGTGGCAGCGGTGCCGGGGAGGGGCGGGAGGCAGGGCGACGGGAGTGGCGTCCCGGGGAAAGGGAAGGAAGCGGCGTGGGGCTGCGGGGCCATGGAGGCGTTGGGGGCGCTGGGGGCGGGGGCGGCGCTGCTGCTGGGGCTCTACGCGCTGCTCTACTACAACTTCGTGGCGGCCACCCGGTGCAGGAACGCGGTCAGCCTGCGGGGCAAGACGGTGCTCATCACAGGTCAGCTGGGCGGGAAGGGGGGGTCCTGGGGGGCATTGCCTTCCTTCCTTCCTTCTCTTTCTTCCTTCTCTTTCTTTCTTTCTTTCTTTCTTTCTTTCTTTCTCTCTTTCTTTCTTTCTTTCTTTCTTTCTTTCTCTCTCTCCCCCCTCCCCCTCCCTCTTTCTTTCTTTCACCCCCTCCCACCTCAGTGGCTCCGCGCAGATTCTGCCCCATGCAGGTCCTGCTTGCCCCAAAGGGGCTTCAGAGGCAGCCGAGAAAGCCCAGCCCAAAAAAGCCCCTCGGGAAGAAACCGGCTGAGAACTGACCCAGGAACTGACCCGGGACCCCCGCAGATGCCAGCCGTCCTGGGGCTTCCCCGGACCCCCGGCCAGGAAGGGAGGAAGGAGGGTGCGGAAGAGCGGGGGGGGCAGGGCTGGGCTGGGCTGCCGGAGACCCTGCTTGGGCCAGCCAGGGGGGCCTCGGAAGGGCGAATCTCGCGCCTGCTTCGCTTCCTTGCCAGCATTGATGGTTGCGGGAAACTCTGGTGGTCTCTGCTGGCTGCGCAGGAAAGGATTGCAGCGGAAGCCCAAGTGATCGGCTGTCTTTTTCTGCATTGTGCAACGAGGCGCAGCGAGGGAACGGCCCTTCCTTCCTGCCCTCCTCCAGAGAGAAGTATAGGAATGCCCCAGAGGTGCTTTTCTTCTTTCCAAGAGGCAACTGGACTTTCTGGTTTTTCTTTGAAGATGTTTCCCTTCTCATCCGAGGAGCTTCTTCAGCTCTGCCTGGAATGCCATCGGTCAGAAATGGTGTAGGGACTCCTACTTGGTCCCTTCCAACTCTGTTATTCTGTTCTGCTCTGAATGGTGAAGGATATATATTATATTCCTCTCCCCCTCCGATCAAACATAACCCTGATGTGGCCCTCAATGAAATCGAGTTTGACACCCCTGTTTTAGAGAGTCGTTAAAGCCCCCTGGAGGTTTATGTGTGTCCTCAGGGTCACCTGAGAAATGCAAATGGGTGTGGAGCCTTCTACAACAGAGTCCTTTCAGCAGTTGCAAGACGGCTCCACACCCATTTGCATTTCTCGGGTGACCCTGAGTTTAATTCTGGCAGTTGAAGTTAAGGTTTCCAAGGTTGAGAAACGCTGCCAAACAAATGCTTCACTTTGTAACGTCACAAAAACTGCAGGCACAAAAATGCAGGCCCGGCTCCTGGGTTCCCATCAAAGGCTGGGCGATCTCCATGGATCCTTCTCTGCCCTTTCCTAGGGGGAAATGCAGGGATCGGGAAGGCCACAGCGGTGGATCTGGCCCGGAGAGGCGCCCGTGTCGTCCTGGCATGCCGCGACAAAGCGAGGGGAGAATCGGCCGTGTACGACATCAGACGGGTAAGCGCCTGCCGTGTGGTTCTCTCTGTCCCTCCGTTCCTCCGATGTTCAGGCGTTTTCCTGGTGGTTTTTTATTCATTTATTTAGCATGTGGCATCTAAAGGGATCATGCAATCTCTGATACGCAACACGAATAAAACACACTATATGTGCAAATGGAAATCTGCTTAAATGAAGCGTCAACAAATACGTGTATATCAAATAAGTGAACACCTGTCCACCCTAGGTGAGTTCAAATCACCAGGACCGGACGGATTGCAGTCCAAGGTTCTGAAGGACCTGGCAGACGAGATCTCAGAACCACTGAACTGTATCTTTCAAAGATCCTGGAGCACCGGGGAACTGCCAGAGGACTGGAAAAGAGCTGATGTGATTCCCATCTTCAAAAAAGGGGAAAAATGGAGCCAGGAAACTACAGACCTACCAGCCTGACCTCAATCCCTGGGAAGATTCTGGAAAAGATAATCAAGCAACGAAGCCAAGATGGGTGTGTCAAAAACAGATCATGCCAGACTAATCTTATTGCATTCTTTGACAAAGTGACAAAATTAGTGGACCAGAGGAATGCTGACGATACAATTTACTTGGACTTCAGTAAAGCATATGATAAAGTAGACCATAACCTACTACTAGATAAAGCAGAAAAATGTGGTTAGACAGCATCACCACCAGAAGGATTTGTAACTGGCTGACCAACTGCACTCAACATGTCCTCAATGGAACTGCATCTACATGGAGGGAGGTTATGCAGTGGAGTACTCCAGGGCTCTGTTTTAGGCCTAGGACTCTTCCACATCTTCATCAATGACTTGGACGAGGGGATAGATGGGGAACTCAACAAATTTGCAGATGACACCAAGATGGCAGGAATAGCCAACACTCCAGAAGATAGGCTCAAGATACAGAAGGATATGAAGAACGGTTGCAGGAATTGGGTATGTCTAGTTTAATGGAAAGAAGGACCAGGGGAGACATGATAGCAATCTTCCAATATCTCAGGGGCTGCCCCAAAGAAGAGGGAGTCAAGCTATTCTCCAAAGCACGTGAGGGCAGGACAAGAAGCAACAGATGGAAACTAATCAAGGAGGAGAAGCAATTTAGAACTAAGGAGGAATTTCCTGACAGTTAAGAACAATTAATAAGTGGAACAACTTGCCTGCAGAAGTTGTGAATGCTCCAACACTGGAACTTTTTAAGAAGATGTTGGATAACCATTTGTCTGAAATGGTGTAGGGTTTCCTGCCTGGGCAGGGGGTTGGACTAGAAGACCTCCAAGGTCCCTTCCAATTCTGTTATTCTAGTCTAGTCTATTCTAACTTACGGTAAAACCATGATAACATTGCCATAATCATGGCGCCATAGAGTCACAATGGAATAGATGTTACACAGGTAATCCTTGATTTACAACCGTTTATTTAATGACTGTTCAAAGTTACAATGGCACTGAAAAAAGTGACTTATGACCATTTTTCCCATTTACAACCTTTGCAGCATCTCTATGGTCATGTGATCCAGAGAGAGATGCTTGGCAACTGATGCCTATTTATGACGATCGCATGTGATCATGTGATCTCTTAGCAATCTTTTGACAAGTAAACTCAGTAAGAAAGCCCAATTTACTTTACAATGGTGTTACGGTGACTCACTTTTTTTCTTCTTTTTTTTTTGCCTTAATTTATATGCCGCCCTTCTCCAGAGACTCAGGGCGGCTTACAGTGCGTTAAGCAATAGCCTTCATTCTTTTGTATATTTTATACAAAGTCAGCTTATTGCCTCCACAATCTGGGTCCTCATTTCACCTACCTTTGAAAGGATGGAAGGCTGAGTCAACCTTGAGCCTTGGAGAGATTCGAACTTGCAGTAATTGCAGGCAGCAGATGTTAATAACAGTGCATTAGTCCACTGTGCTATCAAGGCTCTTAACAACTGTGGCAAGAAAAGTCATAAAATGGGGGCAAGACTCGGTTTATTTTATTTTATTAAATTTCTATACCGCCCTTCTCCGAAGGACTGTCAAGGACTTAACAACTGTCTTGCTTAGCAGCAGTAATTTTGGCCTTGATTGTGGTCATAAATCAAGGATTACCTGTAATGCCCACACAGTGCACAGCTACAGAGGTCCATCACCATCCTGTTCTCCCACTACAGATCCTCCCCGAAGTTGGACTCAAGTTCACCAATATCTTTACGAGCATTTTTTTTCCAGGTTTATAGTTTTATTACCGTTTTTTATGTTGTTTAACTTAAATTCAGAGCTGCCCAGAATTGATTATAGGTTTGGCGGTTACAGACAGGCAATCCTCGACTTATGACTACAGTTGAAGCCAAAATTCCCATTGCTAAATAAGACAGTTGTTTTATGACCAAATTTTGTGACATTTTTTGTTTTGGTTGTTAAGCGAATCACATGGTTGTTAAATGAATCCAGCTTCTCCCCCCATTGACTTTGCTTGTCCGAAACCTCTTGGGACGATCACCAGGGATCAAGTGACCCTGGTGATGCTAGGAGAGTCATAAGTGTGGCGGCTGTTCGAAAATAGCTTTTTCAGTGGCATTGTCACTTTGAATGATCACTAAATAGTTAGTAAAAAGTCAAGGACAATCTGTATCGTTTTGCTATAATGCCAGGGGCCCCCAACCTTTTTGATACCTCGGGCTGGCGGTGGCGCCTTCGGCAGTGGGTGCGAGAGTTCTAGTCCTAAATCCCACCCATGGGCAAACGGAGCTTCATGCACCGGCCTGCCAGTTCAGCGGCTCAATGGGTCATGGGCCGGTAGAGGCGGCAACCCGAGTGTGGGGGCCCCTGTTACGCACCACCCAGAGAGATTGCCGGGAGAGGAGCAGACCTATGCAGAAGGTGAGTAAACAATGAATCAGCCTTGGACGCCACACCGGATCCCGAGGCTCAGGATTCCGTCTGCTCCTTTTCCAGGAAAGTGGGAACTCGGAGGTGATCCTGATGATCCTGGATCTGGGCAGCCTGAACTCCGTGCGAGCTTTTGCGCAGACCTTCTTAAAATCGGAGCCCCGTCTGGACATCCTCATCAACAATGCAGGTGGGGGCAGAGCAGACCCTCCCCAGAGTCTCTGGGTGAGGAAGGGGGAAGATTCTGGCCGTCTCCAGGATTTCCCCGTTCCTTCAAGGACTTCCCATAACTTGAGAAGCAGCTATCTTCTATTTGTAGTTGTTTGTTTTTCGTATACCGCCTTTATTATTATTTTTACGAGTAACTCAAGGCGGCGAACAGATCCAACACTCCTTCCCCCTCCTATTTTCCTCTAAACAACAACCCTGTGAGGTAGGTTGGGCGGACAGAGAGACTGGCCAAAGTCACCAGCCGGCTTTTGTGCCTAAGGCAGGACTAGAACTCCCTGTCTCCTACTGATTGGCTCAAAGTCACTCAGTTCATGCCTGAGTCGGGACTAGAACTCACCATCTCCTGGTGATTGGCTCAAAGACACTCAGTTCATGCCTAAGGCAGGACTAGAACTCCCCATCTCCTAGTGATTGGCTCAAAGCCACTCAGTTCATGCCTAAGGCGGCACTAGAACTCCCCATCTCCTAGTGATTGGCTCAAAGCCACTCAGTTCATGCCTAAGGCGGGACTAGAACTCCCCATCTCCTAGTGATTGGCTCAAAGTCACTCAGTTCATGCCTAAGGCGGGACTAGAACTCCCCATCTCCTGGTGATTGGCTCAAAGCCACTCAGTTCATGCCTAAGGCAGGACTAGAACTCCTTGTCTCCTGGTGATTTTCCTGAAAGTCACCCAGCTGGCTTTCATGGCTTAAGGCGGGATTTGAACTCATGTCCTCCCGTTTTTTCGATCTTTACACCTAGGTATTGTTGTATCTCCCCTAGATTTTTAATCCTGACATGAGCTTTTAATTCATAAACAATCCTGTTGGCCTCTTGCTCATTCTTTGTAATCAGAGCTATATCGTCCGTAAAAAGAAGTAATAATGATACTATACCATCCCTTTCCATTTTAAATAAACATGGATCTGCTAATCCTGCTTTAAATCTGATATTCTTCAATGTTTTTACAATGCACTGGTTCCATTCATAACCTGACTGTTTTAACCCATACAGACTTTTCTTTAATAACCAACAGTCAGCCTTCCCATTTTCCTCAAATCCTGAGGGTTTCTTTAAATAAATTTCATGCTGTAATGGTGCATGCAGATATGCAGTCTCTACATCTAAATGGTTAACTATATATTTATTTCTAGCTGCCCATACCAACGCTGCTCTTAATGTAATGGCTTTTAAACTTAGAGCGAATATTTCATCATAATCATTAGGAGACTGCTTGAGCTACCAGCCTAGCTTTATATATTGGTGTCCCATCTATCCCAGTCTTTAATTTATATATCCACTTACTACCGAGTATAGTTTTCCCTTTTGGAATTGTTACAGACTCATACACTTTCAAATTCTGCAAAGATTGTATTTCTTTAGTCATTGCTCCTCTCCACACTTTCTGGTCTTCAGGTGGAAACGTGGTCAACTCATTAAATGTAGTAGGGACTTTATTTACTTGATAGACTGTAATTGCCTGATACCTATCAGGTGGTCTTGTTACTCTACTCGACCTTCTCGGGAGTTCAGGACTTACAGATTGCCTCTCCACCTTTACCTCTTCCTGTACTACATCTTTCTCTACCTCTTCGCTCTGGATCTCTGGCATTTCATTGGTAGCTTCAGTCTGAGTTTCAATGATAACCTCATTTTCAGTATCTAATTTATTCCACCCTACATGCTCCATAAACCTGGCATTTGCACTGTTAACTACTGTTGCTGTTCCTTTTACCTAAAATCTGTAGGACCTGTGGTTTGAATTATAACCAACAAATATTAATTGTTGTGCCCTATTCTGGCCCTTACACCTTAACTGCGATGGAATATGTACCCATGCAGGTGATCCAAATGTGTGTATGTAGCTTAAATCCGGCTTCCTTCCATGCCATACGGTATATGGAATTTTGTTAGTGGTTGTATTTATGGTGTTGTTTAAGAGTGTATTTGCACACATAATTGCTTCTCCCCATAAATTAGCCAGTAAAACTGCATCAGCTAACATTGATCTCATCATTGCTTGTAGGGTTTGTCCTCTCCTTTCAACATATGAGTTATGTTGTGGTCTATATGGAGCTGAACATTTGTGCTTTATATCAGCATTATCTAACATTGATTTAAACCTTGTGTTTACAAACTCAGTACCATTGTCAGTTACAATGGTAACTATTTTTTGATTTGTTTTTCTCTCCACAAACTTAATCCATTGAACAAAATACCGAAAAGTATCTATCTTAGTCTTCAATAGGTAGCAAAAACCATACCTGGAATAATGGTCAACTATACTGAGAACATAGCAAGCACCCCCTAAACTAGCCTTCATTGGCCCTATTAAATCAGCAAATACCACTTCCAGTGGTCTCTTCATTTTAAACCCAGCAGGAAGAAGGCAGGAAGTTCATTCACTTCTCCTCCTGCTATTAGAAGGTTGAACTATTGAAAGGAACTGTGTCTGTGTTACTGAAGAGAACCGGAATTGTAAGCAAACTATGTTTTCGTGTTGAACCGTGATTATTTGAAGAAGTGTTATCTTTGTTTTGAGAAGCCAAGTTTGTTTTTTTTTACTACAAGTAAAGACTGTTTATTTTTCTTTAAACGTTCAGAGTCTGTGAGTATCTGTGTGTTTTGCTAAGCAACGTATCTATTCGCTTTCTGGTCCGTTGCACCATTTTGCAGAGGGCAGTTTTACCCTCAACACTTTTTTGACCAAAATGTCATAAATCACAGTCACTTTCCAAGGTCAGACTGGTGGCCAAGCACCCAGAATGCAATTATGTGATATGGACACAAGGGGGAGCCATTGGAACTTGGGAACTGGCTGGTAGTTAATTTTAATTAGATCGCGAAGTGACCTGTTGTAAGCCAAGGACTGCATGTAATCCGCTTACTTTTCTGGCAGGAGTCTTTATGACTGGTCAAACTGCTGATGGCTTTGAACAGGCCTTCCAGGTCAACCATTTGGCCCACTTCTTACTGACTCACCTGCTCCTGGACCGGCTGAAGCGCTGCGCCCCGAGCCGGGTCATAACTGTGGTCTCCAGTATGCATGTCTTCGGGAAGATCGACTTTCGGACCATCCACAAGCCGGTGAAGGGAATGTGGAATGCTCTACTTTCTTACTGCAACAGCAAACTAGCCAACATTCTCCATGTGAGAGAGTTGGCCAACCAGCTGGAAGGAACCAACGTCACCTGCTATGCGATTCATCCAGGTGAGTGGAAGTCTGGCTCCAAGGCGCCCCAGATGGAGCCCCCCCCAGGCATTTCTCTCCCACTGGGGGCTCCCTCGACCCCCTCTGCAGAGACATCCCGGGGGTTTCCTCCATCGAGCTCAGCTGCGGAGGGAGATGTTTCCCACCATCTCAGGTCCAGAATCCTAGAATCTTAGGGTGGGAAGGGCCTTTGGAGGTCTTCTAGTCCAACCCTCTGATTAGGCAGGAAACCCTATAACATTTCAGACAATTGGTTATCCAATCTCTTCTTCAAAAGTTCCAGTGATGGAGCACCCACAACTTCTGCTGGCCAGCTGTTCCACTGGTTAGTTGTCCTCAGTGTTAGGAAGTTTCTCCTTCATTTCAGGTTGTTTCTCTCCTTGATGAGTTTCCATCCGTTGCTTCTTGTCCTGTCTTCTGGGGCTTTGGAGAATAGGTTGACCCCCTTCTTCTTTGGGGCAGCCTCTCAAACATTGGAAGATGCTGTCATGTCACCTGTAGTCCTTCTTTTCTCTAGACTGGCCAAACCCACTTCTTGCAGGCCTTTAAATACACTTATTATCTTTTTTGGCTGCTGCCGCACACGGCTGGCTCACGTTTAAGTGATTGTCTGCTGGACTCCAAGGTCCCTCTCAGAGTTACTGTTTTTGAGCCACGTCTCGCCTAATCCGGACTTGTACCTAAAATGCTATTTTAACCAACTCAGGGAACAGATCAGCAGTGGATTTCAAAACCCATCGCTGTTGGTTTGCTTGTGGGCGCTTGCACACTCGCGGGCACGTGTGATGGTTCTGCACATGTGCAGAAGCATCCAAGAGGGTGGGCGGAGACTCCCACCACCACCACCGATTTGCTCAATCCGGGGTGAACCGGTAGCAACGCATCATTGGAACAGATAGACCATCATTACGTAATATTATTTATTTGAATCTATTAGCCACCCAACAAGGGGTGGGTTCTAAATTTTTTTACTACTGGTTCTGTGGGCGTGGCTTATTTTGTGGGCATGACTTGGTGGTGGGGTAATGTGACTGGGTGGGCGTGGCCCACTTTTTTTAAAAATAAACTTTTAAAAGAATTTTTTCTACAACCTTAAGAGGTTGCAGAAAACAATGCTTTGAAAAGCCTCTGCCGATTAGGCAACTCAGCTGGGATCGCCAGAGGCTTTTCAAAGCATTTTTTTCACCACCTCTTCGGCCAAAGATATTGTAGAAAAAGTGCTTTTAAAAGTAAAAAAAAAAAGCCTCTGATGAGGTGGGCAGGGTAAGTGAGCGGCGACTGGGCCGAGGACCGGTTCAGGGGCGTGGCCAGCCAATGTTATTACCGGTTCTCGGAACTACTACAAATTTTTACTACCGGTTCTTGCGAACCGGTGCGAACTGGGAGCAACCCAGCACTGCACCCAACGGCAGTGGATTCAGGTGTGCAATGCAGCACACAGATGTTCACAGACACACAGACATACCTTTGAACCATTGCCCACTCACTTCAGCATTGGGTCTTCCGAAAAATATTTAAAATGGGCAACGGGTCAACCCTATCCTTAACCCTTGAGAGGGGGGCACCGTATTCAAGGGATGCTTCCTGCCATCCCAGGCCGTTCACACAACCAACTTTCTTTTGCTTTCAGGAGCTGTTAGAACCGAAATTGGTCGCTCCTTTCCACGGTGGTTGCATTGGTCGCTCTCATTCATGCAGCTGTTCAGCCGAGATTGTGACGCGGGCGCCCAGACCTCCATCTACTGCGCCACCGAGGAGGGCATCGAGAGGCTGAGTGGGCGGTATTTTGTGGACTGCAGGCTCTCGGAGCCTTGGCCACAGGCCTGTGATGACCAGCTGGCCAAGAAGCTCTGGGAATTCAGCGAGAGGCTGGTGGGACTGACCACTTAAGACGGGAAGGGACAGAGACGGAGTTTGCAGTAGCTGAAAGTGGGAGTCCGATTAACCTGTGAGATCAAACTGCAGGGAATCTGGAAGCTACCCAGAGGTTGTGTTTGATGTGGAAATTCAAGGGTTGAATCTGCAAGAAGTTTAAACATTAGAAAGCATTGGGGGATTTGTCATGGTGAGTTGCCCAGTGTTGCCCAAAGACTCTCATTTGTGACTAATTATTTTTGGTTTTATCTATCCAACGTGAATAAAGACTGTTCCTGCCCTGTTTTAAAAGGGGGTATGTTTTACTTGTGAGTAAGTGGTTTCAAATTGCTTGCGAAGGCTGGATCAAAACATGGTCTTGCTTAACAACAGAAATGCTGGGCTCCTTCCTTCTTTCTTTCCTTCCTTCCTTCCTTCCTTCCTTCCTTCCTTCCTTCCTTCCTTCCTTCCTTCCTTCCTTCCTTTCTTCTTTCCCTCCATCCCTCTTCCTTCCTTCCTTCCTTCCTAGCTGAAAGTGGGAGTCCGATTAACCTGGGACATCAAAGTGCAGGGAATCTGGAAGCTACCCAGACTCATTTGTGACTAATTATTTTTGCTTTTATCTATCCAACGTGAATAAAGACTGTTCCTGTTTTAAAACAGGGTATGTTTTACTTGTGAGTAAGTGGCTTCTCATTGCTTGTGAAGGCTGGGTCAGAACACGGTCTTGCTTAGCAACAGAAATGTTGGGCTCAATTGTCATAATTCAAGGACTACCTGTATAGAGCAGGGCACGGAGTTGAGTCAGGAAACGTCAGGATCCAAAAAGACAGGCAGTGATTCTGCCAAGAGATTCCTTGATAGTTCAATACCTAGAGACAGAATCTTGCCAGATCAAAGCAAATTATTATGTACAAGAGGTGTATTAGCTGCAAATGATAAGGGAGGAGCCGGCCTGAGCCTTTTTCTCCCAAATATAATCTCTATGCTATGTTCAGGGCTGGTATTCACTTACCTTCACTACTGGTTTGCAAATGTGAGTGCGCGCGGGACACCTCCACATATACACAAAGCGTCAAAAACGTGGATAGATGGGACGTGATTACATCCCCGCAGAGCCACCCACAGCCACCGCTACCGGTTCACCCAAACTCGATAGAACCGGCTGAATACGTCCACTGGCTATGTTGCCTCTTCCTCCTCTGGGATGCACCCCTCCCTCCCTCCCTCCCTCCTTCCTAGAAACCTTGCCCATTGCATTCCAGTTACAGGAACCCCCCTGCTGAAGGGGATTCGGCCTCTCCCAGTCTGAGCATTGAGGGAAGACTGCTAAGGATGCCCCCACCCCCACCCCATACCCCCTACTGGTATGCCTAGACCCAGTGGCATAGCTTTGTGGACAATACCTGGGTCGAGATTTAACCACAGGAATTGGAAGCAACACATTCACCAACACATCAATTCTATGGGCAGGTACATTAAGTTCACTCAGGAAGATGTCAAGGAAAACAGCCTGGCTGTCAGACTTCGATGCTATCTCAAAATAAATGAATTTCCAAACTGCCAATCTTTAAGGAAATCTTTTCTTTAATTGAGCACAGCCACCGGATCATGACTTGATGCGGACAAGACTGACCTTTTGCCCCCCAATCCCTCCCTTTCCGATCCCCAAATCTCTGCTTCTCATTGGCTATCTTCCAAGTCATTCTTAAGACTTCTTGTCTCGTCATTTCCCAGGAATGTCCCCCCTCCTCATTTCCACGACAACCCGACTTCAAAGGGATTTAGCAGGCAAAAGTTCAGAGCTTATCTTGCTCTCCTCTGCACTCTATGCCAGCGTTGAAACGCTGACACTGGCTTTCCTAGACTGTCCAATAGGAAGACAGAAACCTCAACACTGACGTTTACAGGAACCCCCCCCCTCCCACAGAGAGATCAGTACCGTATTTTTCGGAGTATAAGATGCACCTTTCCCCCCCCCCCAAATAAGAGGCTGAAAATCTGGGTGTGTCTTATACTCCGAATGTAGCCCCGCCCAGCTTCTCAAACGGAGGTTTCAAAAAAAGCATCAGAAATGAAGCTTCAGAAAATAAGCCCCCAAAGAGAGCTTCAGAGGCTTTTTTTTTCTGAAGCTCTGTTTTGGAGGCTTTCAGAGGCAGAATTTTTTTTTTTTCTGAAAGGAGTTTCAGAAGTTTCAGAGGCAGAAAAAAAAGCAAGGCACAGAGCTCACAACCAAGGAACCTGTTGCTAAAATTCTCCTCTGGGAACAGCTGATTGGGGGTATTCCGGGAAGCCGATCCACCTGCCAATCAGCTTTTTTCTTATTTTACTCCCCAAAAACTAAGGTGCGTCTTATACTATGAAAAATACGGTATTTATATATTTTGATTCTCACCACTCACTGGAGCACAAAATGGGACTGATCAGCAAAGAGGGAAAAGAAAAGGAACTAAAATACAACAAGGAAGTCCTCAGAACCTATGCCTATCTCAACTAGACCTTCATCAAATCCAAAAAAGGACTGAGCAGGAGCAACTCCATAACAGACAACAAAGAGAACAATAAACGAAGCAACACTGTCATTCCGTACGTTGCAGGAATATATGAAAACCTCACAATAATTTTCAACCAACACAACATACCTACACACTTTAAACACAAAAATACACTAAGGCAGAAGCTTGTCCACTCCAAGGAGAAAACACCCGGACACAAACTGAGCAATGTGATATATTGCAGTTCAAAGCAGTCAGACATGTACAGATCTGTATGTTGGAGAAACAAAACAACCACTTCACAAACGCATGGCACAGCATAGAAGAACAAACCCATCAGGGCAAGATTATGGATAGAGAGGACTGCTAGTTGGAAAGAGGGGTCAAAGAGGTCATCTACATTTAACAGCCCTCTCACAATGTGTGTGGGGGAGGGATACCACTCCACCTCTCTCCTGTTTACAATCCTTTCAGCAGTTCCAAGAAGGTTTCACAGCCATTTGAACTATTCGAGGGCACAAATAAACCTCAGAGTTGCCTTTGCAGAAAGAGTGCTATTGCCCAAAGGATTGTAAGCAATATAAATCCTTCCATCCTTCACCATTCAGTCAGAACTGAAGAAGCTTCTTGCATGAGAAGTGAAACGTCTTCAAGGGAAAACCAAATCCAGTTGCCTTCTGAAAAAGCATCTTTGGGACAACCATGATCTGGATGACTATGAATCGCCATCGACGTAAAACGTAGTAACTGGCTACCTGTAGAAAACACGCTGCCCTCCAGAGGACGGCTATCGACCGCTGCCCTTGCACCCACTTGGGACTGCACCCAAGGCGCCTATTGCTGTTGCTGCAAACTTTGCTTTCCACTTGCAGATGTTTGTGTATTTTGTGATCTTCTCCAGTTCCTTCTCCCCTCTTCTGCGGTCTCCAGGCAAGGTCTGGCATCTTTTGAATACGGCGCACCCTTCTCAAGGGAGGGGCTGCCTTAGGTCCCCACACCACTTCTGACCCAAGGCTGCCCCCCTGCCCACCCCTGGCCTCAGGGGCTGGGCACAGAGCCAAGGGACCTGCATGTGGCGGCAGAAGGCAGAGCCTGGGGTTTAGAGGGTGGTCCATTCCCTTTCCATGTGAAGAGACCCAGCTGCGTTAGCAAGGCATCCTCAGGGATAGGATGGGAGACCACCAGGAGAGGCCCGGAGGAGGGGGCAAGGGGATGGCGAGAGTGCAGCAGGGCTGCTGGGGCTCAACTGTAGGTTCCCTCAAACCAGCTTTCAACCATTTCCTTCCTTCCTTCGTTCTTTCCCTCCATCCCTCTTCCTTCCTTCCTTCCTTCCTTCCTTCCTTCCTTCCTTCCTTCCTTCCTTTCCTACCTCCCTCCCCTTCCTTCCCTCCATCCTCCTTTTCTCCCTTCCCTTCCTTCGTTCTTTCCTTCTTTCCCTCCGTCCCCCATCCTTCCTCCTTTCCTCCCTCCCCTTCCTTCCTTCCTTGTCAGCCAGGAGTGGGGGCGAGAGAGTGGCAGCGGTGCCAGAATCCGTGGCTTTCCCACGCGGGGGCGGGGCGGGAGGCAGGGCGACGGGAGTGGCGTCCCGGGGAAAGGGAAGGAAGCGGCGTGGGGCTGCGGGGCCATGGAGGCGTTGGGGGCGCTGGGGGCGGGGGCGGCGCTGCTGCTGGGGCTCTACGCGCTGCTCTACTCCAACTTCGTGGCGGCCACCCGGTGCAGGAACGCGGTCAGCCTGCGGGGCAAGACGGTGCTCATCACAGGTCAGCTTCTTTCTTTCTTTCTTTCTTTCTTTCTTTCTTTCTTTTTTTTCTTTCTTTCTTTCTTTCTTTCTTTCTCTTTCTCTTCCTTCCTTCCTTCCTCTCTCCCCTCCATCCTCTTCATTCCTACCACCTTCCTTCCTTCCTTCCTCTCTCCCCTCCATCCTCTTCATTCCTACCACCTTCCTTCCTTCCTTCCTTCCTTCCTTCCTTCCTTCCTTTCCTTCCTTCCTTCCTTTCCTTCCTTCCTTCCTTTCCTTCCTTCCTTCCTTCTCAGCCAGGAGGGGGGCGAGAGAGTGGCAGCGGTGCCGGGGCGGGGCGGGAGGCAGGGCGACGGGAGTGGCGTCCCGGGGAACGGGATAAAAAGGTGAGGGGGGGCTGTGGGGCCAGCGGACTTCGGGCCATGGAGGCGTTGGGGGCGCTGGGGGCGGGGGCGGCGCTGCTGCTGGGGCTCTACGCGCTGCTCTACTACAACTTCGTGGCGGCCACCCGGTGCAGGAACGCGGTCAGCCTGCGGGGCAAGACGGTGCTCATCACAGGTCAGCTGGGGGGGAAGGGGGGGTCCGGGGGGGCATTGCTCTCTTTCTTTCTTTCTTTCTTTCTTTCTTTCTTTCTTTCTTTCTTTCTTTCTTTCTTTCTTTCTTCTTCTCTTCTCTCCTTCCTTCCTCTCCTCCTCTCTCCTCCTCATTCCTATCACCTTCCTTCCTTCCTTCCTTCTTTCCTTCCTCCCTTCCTTCCTTCCTCTCTCCCCTCCTTCCTCTTCATTCCTATCACCTTCCTTCCTTCCTTCCTTCCTTGTCAGCCAGGAGGGGGGCGAGAGAGTGGCAGCGGTGCCGGGGCGGGGCGGGAGGCAGGGCGACGGGAGTGGCGTCCCGGGGAAAGGTGTTAGATCCGGCGCAGGGAAAAGAAGACTGGACCAGCTCGATACATAAAGCAACTTTTATTCATTACAAAGTAACGAGTCAAGACTGCTGGCGCGCTGCCGGAGCTCTCCTTATATTCGCTCCCGGCAGACGCACCGCCCCTTGACAGGGATTCAAATCTCCCGCCCGATGGTTGGCAGCCAATCAGGGCGGATGTCCTTATAAGGACATAACACTCCTCCCCCCTTAGTCCGAAATGTCAATCTCATTCACAAACGTTACGTAGTCGCGCAGGTACGCCGGACGCCTCGGCACCCTAGCTGACCTGCGCAGTCTCACTTCTCCTCCGTCTCCGGCCTGGAAGGACGGGGCTCTTTCGTCTCCTGGTTCCCTCTCCGGAACCGGGCTCGGTTCGGCTGTCGAGTGAGCGGGGCCACCCCCAGCGCCTCCGGCCGGACCGCAGACCTTGGATCGCTGGTCCTGGTGGTCTTCCTCCTGTCCTGTGGATCTCTCGCCTCGCCTCGGCTGCTCGGTTCCGACCCGGGAAGAGCGTCTGAGT